AAGAAGCAAGCAGTTGTGGCAAAGTCAAGTGCAGAGGCTGAGTATAGATCCATGGCTCATGGTGTCTCAGAACTTCTTTGGGTTAGATCTCTTTTGAGTGAGATTGGGGTGAAAGCAGAGGAACCTATGATGTTATACTATGACAATCAGTCTGCAATCAATATTGCCCACAATCCAATTCAACATGATAGGACAAAACACATTGAAGTTGATAAACACTTTATAAGAGAAAGGGTAACAACCGGAGAAGTTTGTTTGCCTTATTATGTCTTTTCAAAGTTGCAACTAGCTGATGTTCTCACTAAAGGGGTGGCAAAGAACAAGCTTGAGCATGATCTATGCAAGTTGGGAATGTGTGACATTTACTCCCAACTTGAGGGGGAGTGTTGAAGATTAATTAGTTTTATGATGTTTTTTTGAGTAGATGTTTTATGTTAGTTGTTAGATAGGAGGTGGGGACTACAATAGTTATGTGAGTCCAAATTTTATTATGTTTTTGAGTGTTATATATGCTGTTTTATGTTTTTCTGCCCTATAAGGGCATAATTGTCTTTGTATTGTTTTATTATTTTAGTATAAATAATAAGTGAAGGGGCGCCCAGATTATTGCTCTCTTTTTCTCCTTCTCTCTTCCTTCTCTTTTCAAAAAACTACTTTTCTTTTATATTTTTTAATTCAGCAAATTTCTACTGGGTTCACTAAACAATTGTTCCCAGTTCATACATAAGTTCTTTGACCTCTCTAAGAGTTAGTCTGTAGTTTTTGGGAGATTTGGGAATAAATGAATATGAGAACATTCCATAATAAGGAAAGAGTGGCAGAAGGTAACCCATATATGATTACCATCTTAGTGATCCACTTGATCCTGTTCTTAGGGATTTCCAAAGGAGTTGTGTCAAATTTGATCAGTAAAGATTGGTCAATGGCAACAATATTTTCATCCCAGAGTCCACAATGAATGACTCTGCTAGAGGATCCCATAAAGCTGAACTTTGACATATACTGTTTAAGAAGTTTAGAAAGTTTAGGAGTTGGGATAGAAATGTGGCAGTTATCCTGTCTTATTCCGGTGTTATTGGCAAGGGAAATTTGGTTAGAGCTTAGTTGTCATCTCTTGTTCAAGGTCCTAAAACGCCATTCTCTATTTAGCCTGTTAGATTAGCAATACAAAACCTTTGGCATCCATCTTGACTCATTTCACTAGTTCCAAGATCAGCTAATTAGACTGCTAATGATCTAAATGGAGAGGGGGGGAATCAAGGAGTTGATGGTTTTGGAATCTTTCATTACACAAGTTTTTGTTTTCTGTATGTTCTGCAGGAGGGCTATAATTCAGAGTTCTGGTCATCCTTCTCTTTGTCTTTTGCAATGAACCCCCAGCGTTTCTGCCTATTTTACAATTATACCTATGTGAATGCAATTCATAGTTACAGATCTATTTATAAACACAAGGTACCATCAGGAATTGCATCCCCAGAATCATTCTCCCATGCTTGGTTCCTGGAACATTGTCTTTGTTTCAGATTGCTATCAGTCTTAACATTGAAAACTTCACAGAAGGGTGTGACAATGAACAAGAGCATCTGAGGCAACCAAGAAGAAAAAAGATGAGCGCCACTAAGTAAGTCACACCTTAACTAACCAAATAGAAAATCAGGCAAATATTTACCATCTATAGATGGATATTGGTCAAAGAGCATAATCATAGAAATATTTAAAGAAAGAATTTTCTTGGTAACAATAAATTAACAGTGAAGCATAGAGATAATTTTGAAACTGGTTTTCTCATACTTGAATAAAAGAATCAGAAAAAGATGTGTTTTCTGATGTAATTCAGAAAGAAAAAGAAAAAAGTAAGAAGAAGAAAGAAGAGAAAGGGGTGCGGTTGAATAAAAAATAGCCGCCCCACTAAATCTTATATATATATGACTTTACAATAAGTGGAGTTACTCTAATACCCCTACTTAAAAAATAAAAGAAAAATAAACAAGGCCCAACTGGCCCAACTACCAAAACTGTAACATAAAGAAATAAATAGTAAAATAAAGTGTAGGGCTGGAACCACACACACACTAATAACCTATTAACTATCTCTATACTCCCCCTCAAGTTGGGAGTAGATATTTGTCATTCCCAACTTGTGTAAATCTGCCTCCAACTTGATTTTTGTGACTACTTTAGTAAAGAGATCAGCTAACTGCATGTCTCAGGCAATATAAGGAAGACACGCTTCTTGAGATGCAACTCGCTCTCGGATAAAATGGCTGCCCACCTCGATATGCTTAGTCCTGTCATGCTGTATTGGGTTGTGGGCAATATTAATTGCAGCTTGATTATCGCAATACAGCATCAGAGGTTTCTCATAATCAATTTCCAGCTCATCAAGCAAAGATTTCAGCCATAACACTTTTGCAACACCATTGGCCATGGACCTATATTCAGCTTCAGCACTAGATTGAGCAACAACATATTATTTCTTGCTTCTCCAGGAAACAAGATTTCCCCCCACAAATGCACAATACCCAGAGGTAGACCTTCTGTCATCAATACATCCAGCCCAATCAGCATCTGTATATACTTCTATTTTCATGTGACCACTATTCCTGAAGAGTATGTCTCTCCCTGGGCATCTCTTCAAATAAGCAAGTAAGTATCCTTGCCACTACAAGAAGGTGAGTGGTCCTAGGAGAATGCATGTCCTAACTAACAACACTAATAGCATATGAAATATCTGGTCGTGTTAGGCAAAGATAAAGAAGTTCCCCAACCAACCTTTGATACATAGCCCTGTCCTCAAGAAGTTCTCCACTTTCTACACTTATTTTATGGTTCAACTCAATGGGTGTGTCAACAAGCTTTACTCCTAACTTTCCAGTTTCTTCCAATAAGTCAAGAACATACGTTCCTCCAATAACTCAATGGATGTGTCAACAATCGAGCTACCTCAATTCCCAGGAAATAACGCAATTCCCCCAAGTCCTTCATTTCAAATTCCTTGTGAAGATGCTGCTTAAGAGATTCAATCTCACTAATATCACTTCTTGTTACCACAATGTCATCCACATAGACAACAAGTAAGGTCAAGGAGGAGTCTGTCTTCTTAAAGATGAGAGTGTGATCTGATTGAGCCTGTATGTAACTAAATTTTTCCAAAGCCAGTCTAAACCTATCAAACCAGGCTCTTGGAGATTGTTTCAGCCCATATAAAGCCTTTTTTTAATCGGCAAACTTTCTTTCTTGCTTCTGTACTATAAAAACTAGGGAGTAACTCCATGTACACTTCTTCTTGCAAATCTCCATCGAGGAATGCATTCTTGACATCCATCTGAAATAGTGGCCATGAAAAATTTGTAGCAATAAATAGTAAGACTTTGGTAGTATTCATCTTGGCAACTAGTGCAAAGGTTTCCATATAGTCTATGCCATAAGTTTGTGTGAATCCCTTTGCAACCAACTGGCCTTATACCTCTCTACAGAACCATCAGCATTATATTTCACTGTAAACACCCATTTGCATCCAACAAGTTTCTTCCTCTCAGGCTAGTCAACTAGTTCTCGTGTATTATTCTTAACAAGAGCATCCATCTCTACTTTCATCGCTTCCTTCCTCTCAAGTATCAATAGAGCTTCTTGCACTGCTCTGGGTATAGGAATAGTAGCAATAGATGCCAGGTAAGATCTATAGGATTTTGAGAGACAATCATAAGAAAGGAATTTGGAGACACAATGAGCAGTGGATGAAGTACAAGGGCGCTTCCCTTTACGAATTGCAATTGGGAGATCAAGGTCATCTGAGGAAGAAGGCTGAGGCTCAACGGTGTTAGGCAAAGTATCTGCAACAATGGGCTCAACAGTGGGAGTAATGGTAGTGCTTGAATCTAGAGCTGTAGAAGGTGTTGGGATCGGCCTGGACTGCTGAGGACGGGAATCAACCTGCCTCCACCACTGTCTGTGATACACTCTCAACTCCCTGCACTTCTGACAACCCTCTTCACGACTCCCCCTCAATAACTGGGATAGGTAATGGAACTTTTGGGGCTGAAATCCCTTCCTCACTACTCTCCCCCTAAGGAGAAGCCCTATGATAGTAGGGCATATCCTCAAAAAAAGTGGCATCCATGGACACAAAACACCTCCCTGAAACAGGCTCATAACAGCAATATCCCTTTTAATTTTGTGCATACCTAAGGAAAATACATTTAGTACCTTTGGGATCAAATTTGGAGCAATGAGGTCCAAGGATTTAAACAAAACAAGTACACCCAAAAGTTTTAAGGGGAATAGTGAACAGGTCCTTGTTTGGATACAAAAGATTGAATGGTGTTTTCATGTCTAGAACCTGTAAAGGAATTCTGTTAATAAGGTAAAAAGTTGTACGGGTTGCATCCCCCCAGAAGCGTATGGGAACATTAGAGTTGAGCATGATGCTTCTGGCTACCTCCAAGATATCTCTATTTTTTCTCTCAGGAACCCCATTCTACTGAGGTGTACAAGGACAGGTGCTCTGATGAATGACCCCATGATCTATGAGATATGATGCCCAAGGGTTTTGCAAAGTACTCCTTGGCATTATCAAATCTAAGAATTTTGATCCTGACTTCAAATTGGGTCAATACCATCTGATGGAATGCCTGGGTCAAAGAGGAGACTGATAACTCTGCATTTTGATGCCTTAAGGGCATCATTTCAGGGGTACTTTCGGCCTTAGAATAGTCGAAGTATGTCTTTTCCCAGTTAAATTCATTGTTGTGACCTCTGAGGATCTCTATGCAAATTCTGGGGAAAACTGGGAAGTTTTCATGGCTGAAATGCGGATTTTGGGAAGCTGGTGTGAAGTCCAACTGAGAGAGGGGGTGTTTTTGTGAAAAACTGAAAGCAGGAGGGCGCCTCTTAGCTGCTAAACCTAGTTTGGCGCCCCTCCTACTGTATTTGCATGCTCCCCACGCCTTAGCAAACCCTAGGAAGCCTTTTAACCCATTCTTTTCACTCTTAACAAACCCTAGCCGCCCCTAACTACTAAATCCTCACCTTCCATCACTTCTAATCTCCACCATCCATTATAGGGCACTCTCTTTTTAGCATTCTAACCCTAGGAGCCACCTAACTTCTAATTTTCACCATTCAGCCTTTAGCCATTAAATCTCAGCCTTACATAATATTGGGTGCCCTCTCCTTTTCTTCTCAGCATTAGGATCACCCTAGAACCATCCTAACCCTTCATTCTAAACCCTAGGGCACCCATATTTTTGCTAAAACCCAGTTGCCGCCCCCCTCTTTCTCTCTATTCCCAGTTGTGTCCACCCTTCTCTATAAAAAGAACCCCAAGGGCCCTGTAGAAGGGGTTGGTCAATTCACCCAGCTAACAAGGCTAAGGTTTCTTGAGAAGTTCAAGGGTCGTAGAAGGGGAGGACGCCCAGATCTTGTCAGGAGGGGTTCCTACAAGTTGTTCAACCATTCTGCAACTACCGCCACTGGATCTGATCAACCATTCTTTTCTTTATTTTCTTTTATGTTATTTCTATTTCTGCAATCTTTAAGATTTAATTCTTGTTCGTTTCTCTGTTTTGCATATCTGAATTTGTTCGGTTCAAGGCCAAGGTGTCTCGAGGGGTTCGAGGGTTGTAGAAAGGACCGACGCCCAGTTCTTGTCAAGAGGGGTTTCTGCAAGCTGTCTGGCCGATCTGCAGCTACCGCCACCGAATCCGGATTCTGGATCGTTTTTTTTATTTGTTTCTTTTACTTCCTTTGTTGATTCCCATACTTTATTAAATTCAAATTTTTATTCATTGTCTTGTTTAAATTCGAAACATTTAATTTCAGCAACAATAGATTTCATTTTCGTATTTTTTTTCATTCTCGATTGCATTCTCTTGTCCAGATCTAAGTATATATTAATTTTTCACTTGCTTCCTTGTGGATATGACCCGTTCTCACCCATTTACTATGTTAGTAGTTGTTTGAGAAACGGTAAAAATTATAAATATTTAAACTGGTGTTCCAGAGTGTTTAACGACGCGCTTCCGGCTACACCAAGGACCTCATCTCCAGAGTGCATAAGATAAACCCATGAGAAACGGGTATAATCATCAACAAATAACAAGAAGTATCTGTACCCCCCCCCTAGCAAGAGTATGATATGGCCCCCAAACATCTGTATGCACAATTTCAAAAGGAAGATTGCTTCTTTTATTGCTCAAACAATAAGTTGATTTACAATGTTTTGCAAGTTCACATCTTTCACACCTCAAACTAGACACTTGGACTGACTCAAACAAATTAGGAAACAAACTCTTCAAAGGCCCGAAAGACAAATGACCTAATCGGTTATGCCAAAGCATAATCTGACTCCAAGACTGAGAAACAAACAATTTCCCAACTTCACTCTCCTTCCCCTATGGATGCTCAAGCATGTAAACTCCATTCATCTCACAGCCAATCCCAATCACCTTCCTCGTTTCCAGATCATGAAAAACAGAACAATCAGGAAAAAACGTCACTGAATTGTTTTTATTCTTGGTAATACTACTAACTGAAAGCAAGTTAGCTTAGCAATAAGCTTAGGAACATGCAAAACTAAGGATAGGGAAATGGCATCAGACAGTCTGATGTCTCCCTTGCCAAAAATAGGCACAAAGGAGCCATCAGCAATAGATACTTTGTCTCTAACAAAGGATAAACAATAGGTGGTAAACAAGGTGGATAAACTGGTCATATGGTCAGAAGCACCTGAATCTATCACCCAGAAGGATCTAGTATTACCTGGGGCTGAAGTATGATATGTTGTAGCTCTTGTACCTGTGTGACCAAAGGCTGAAGTAGGATTAGCAGATGTAGTAGCTGAAGGCTGAGATGATGACCCGGAAATACCAGCTTCATTCTCTAATTGTGTTAAGGCAGCCCGAACAGCAACTAAGGCATCTAAGGATGTGGTCCTTGTGCTGGAAGTGGATGCACTATCTATATTAACTGCCGCATTAGCACTCCCCTTCTTGTTTCAAAGTCTCACTAGCATTAGGTGGAGATGCAACTTCCAACAAGTGTCCCTAGTATATTTTGGCTTCTTACAATGATCACAAAAAATGTCTCTTTTATCTTCCTTCTTCATTTTTCTTTCCTTCTCCCCTCCAACCTTAGATTTTGTGGATACCAAGGCTGATTCTATAGGATGGAAAGATAACATAACCTTCCTCCTACTCTCTTCACTGTGAACCAATGAGTAAGCTTGAGATAATGTCACACTCTCCCTAGTGAGAAGTTGTTGTCTTACAATGTCAAAATCTAAGTTCAAACCAGCTAAGAACTCAAACATTCTATTTGTTTCAATCAGTTTTTTATATGTCGTTGCATCCCTCTGACTTTCCCATCAATAGTTTCCACGTGATCAATTTCATGCCATAGGGATTTCAGAGTAGCAAAGTACACTAAGATTGGTTTCTCCCCTTGCTCGAGACTATTCACTTCACACTTTAGCTCATAAGCTCTAGCAACATTAAGAGGTTGGGAGTATGTCTCCTTCATGCTGTCCCAAATCTCCTTGGCTGTTTTTGCCCAAAGGTAATTTCGGCTGATGTGAGGCTGCATAGAGTTGCATAGCCAAGTCATCACTAAATAGTTCTCTTGAACCCATTTGAGATGTGATATGTCTTCCTTGGCTGGTTTCTTTGTGTCTCTGGTCACATAACCAATTTACCACTACCTCTAATGGCCATCATTGCTGATTGGGCTCATTCCAAGTAATTGGTTCCATCAAACCTAACAGTGGTAATCTGAAACAAATTTCCAGTCATGCTACCAGTCCCTAAAAATCCTTCCCCTTGAGTTTTTAACTCACTTCCACCCTTCTCCATTCTATGTAGAGCACTAACAGGTCAAAAACTCCAAGAAAATAACCAAAAAAGAATTTCTTTTATGCTGAAAATCTAAGAAATTGAGAGAAAAAACACCTAGAATTTATTCACAGCAATGAACAGTCATCAAGAACATAGTCTCAGCCGATAGTTACCTTCCAAGAAAGCATCCACAGTCAAAAGTCAACTCCCCAGTTCATCATCAGTCCTTGAATCCTCAAAAAAACTGATCGTAGGGTTTTAAACAAGGGAGAAAACAACAGGGAATACTCAGATTTATCAGCCGCTGCTTATAGAGAGGCTTAAGTACTTCTAACCAAGATCGGCCCTACTAAAGATTGTACCTTTCTCAGAAAAAACACTAATTGCTACCTCAGTTTGAAACCCTAATCTTGGTCGCACCTAATTTCTCTGATTCTTCCTGGTCACCAGGTAATCTCCAAGAACCTTTCAATTCCTTGGCAGTCTCCAATACTGCAGCAACCTCCAAGAACCAAGCGCTATTGCAGAAAATCCAGATCTAAAGAATTCTCATGTAGCTGACCAGATCAAGCTCACATGAGAACCCTAGTCTTTCCTCGCCTTGCTCTGACACCAACTTGAATAAAAGAATCAGAAAAAGATGTGTTTTCTGATGTAATTCAGAAAGAAAAAGAAAAGAAGTCAACCTAGATTTGAAGAGAAGAAAGAAGAGAAAGGGGTGTGATTGAATAAAAAATAGCCGCCCCACTATATATATATATATATAACCACACACACACTAATAACCTATTAACTATTTCTACGCTCATGCAAGAAGTAGATACAAGGAATTTGTAAGATAACAAATATCAAAAAGCAAAGAAATTGCCAAAACTTATGGACAAAAATGAAAATAGTTAACACTGAAGTAGACAAGAAACCCGTGAAAGTAAAAGTGGTAACATAAACAAGAAAAACAAATAAAAGACAAAACTGCACCACATATAATTGTGAAAATTGGTTTGTAAAGGATACTGGTGATGAAACCTGCCATATCAGTTACTAACATCAACAGGTTTGAAAACCTTAATGAAAAACAGAACAAGGACGCAGGAACGTTACTGACCTGAATTTCAGACAGAGAGATTATTAAATCAAAACCAGAAATAGAACCACTTCCAACCCAACCATGCTTCAACCATGAATGACCATCCCCATCCCTTGCCTCCGCCTTCTCAACCGTAAAGGAAGCAGTTAGACATTTCAAGATATAATTATGAAAATTTGCAGGAGAGAGTCGAGATGGATCACTTTCTATCAGAAATTCTTTCTGTGGAACAGTGTAATTTGAAGAAGATGATTCATCAAGAACTGGAGAACTTGATTTAATAGAAGTAAAATGGGGAACTTGTATCTCATTTGCAGTTCGTTCTGCACAATTTTCATGAAGACGTGCTGAGATGGTCGTCAAATGAGAATCAAGTGAAAACTTTCTTCTTAAATTGAAAAATTCAAAGTTTAAATGGAAGTCAGCTTCAAAGATAAGTTCTCGAACACCACCTGTAAAAGAAAAATAAAACATTAAGACACTTGATGTAGTAAAAATCACTCAAGACCAGAAATGATATGTATTTACCATATTCATCTTCAATAACAAAAACAAGAGAAAACTGAGAAAGTCTCATATTAAGTGCCTCCACTAGCTTCCATTTGATTTCAGTGGATACACTGTGTATCTCTGGGAGTGCCATTGTGGATACTGTGCCTTGTGCAGAGTCCTTAATTGTACAATAATTCACTCCAGCCATGTTCTCACGAGGTGCAATTCTTTCAAATTGTTCCCCAGATGAGATGTGTACCCACAAAACATCCATGGAAAAGAGATCTTTAATGCACAGAAGGTACAAACTAAAGCCACGAATATACATAGCCAATGCTGTTGTTTCAAGGAAAACAAGACCACCCTGTGAAGCAGCATCATGTTTAGTCTCATTAAGAACAAACATAAGGGAGCTAAAATTCCATCAGATATGCAATGTCAATAAAACATGGTCATTTTCTACTGCAACTATACACAGTGTTAAAAATATATATCTAAAGGGTGATGTTATGACCATATCAGGTCCATACAAAATGAAAGAAGCATTCATTTCCATGAGTAAAGACATGAAAATATGAAAGAGGAGTAAAGAAAGACCACAAGAAAGAATGCAAACATACTTCCAATAAACAAAATGTATGCATGCACATGCACAAAATGCATGATAAGTAAATAATAACCAGCAGCAGTAAACAAAATAAGAATGTATTTATAAACTAGTAGCACCTGGATATTCAATGAAATTGTGTGAAATTCCCCACCAATAGCAAGTGAAGAGAAAAGTTTCTTTGGTTGATGTACTCCAAGTATAATATTTTTTACAGAGCATTTTGCCATAAATACCTCACCAAGTTCAATGTTTAAGAACAACAGATAACCTTCAACCGGTGCTTGAACATTCAAATTAACCATTTGACTGTCTCTCCTTTTCTGGCTAAGACCACAAGATTGGATTCTGGACCCTTCATTAACAATTTCCAAAGAAGAACCTTGTGTCACATGTGAACTTTTATTACTAGAAGTGTCAACTGTATCACTGACCCTCCCAGGAAATGGAGCATTCCCACTGGAACCAATCCACAAATTAAACATGCAACTAGAAATTGAGAATTCATATAAGCTGTTAAGAGATTGAAAAAGGAGATCTCCGAGCTTGGACTGATTATTACATAGTCCTGTCTGACTTTGACATCTGAAAATAACAGACTTCATTCCAGAAAAATCAGTAAGCACCTCTGCTTGGTCTTCACTGCAGGAAACTCGCATGTATGATTGCTCAACAGAGATCAGAATTCCATAATCTGGCACATCACGTATGTTCAGCTTCTTATTATTTTTTATGCCAGAGGATGCCATATATTTCTCCATGATATCATTTTTCCTAGAGTGATGCAGAATGATATCAAGTGACTCGAACTCACAAGTGGCATCAATTGCAAACTGTGTACTCTTAAGAATCAAGGAAGCAACCATTGCTGCAGACGTTTGTGTGTCTTCATTGGTATCTGGATTTGCAGATGCAATGCCTCCCCTGTTAAGTTCTTGAAAATGTGCACCACCAACAGAACCAAGAGAAGAAAGTGTATGTGATACTGCAGATACTATGCTTCCAACCACCTGAGGAAGTATGTTTCATTAACCATACAAGTATTGGAAGTGCAGAGTGCATGACTTTCTAGAACATAGTCACTATTCTTAACCCTGTCAATCAAGGACCACAAGTATATATATAAAATGGGAAAATATACCAATATTCTTAATCAAGAACAGAACCAACCTCCAGCAATTTTTTTTTCTGAAGTTAAATTCCAATCCATGGCATACCCAGGAATATCAATAGATACACAAACAACATGATATGCATGATAAATTTGTGCTAGTAGTAATCTTGGAAAAAAGCTATAGTAAAAAAGGATCTTGGGAAAAGAAGCCCCCTAAGGATTCTGAAGAAAGACCAATAGTGAAATTTCCATTAAGCAAAAAAGATATGGTTACTTACTCGCGGAATGTGGTGTTATAAGAGCAGAGTTGCATTGTAGGCCTAATATTTGCTGCAATTGTTTGAGTGATTATGAAGTATGGAGGGAAATTTTGAACAATACTGTAGCTTGGGTGAGGAGATCATGCATGGTTAAGAATAAGAAGCACCCAAGCCTCACATCATAAGAAGAAATAATAACAATATGCCAGACCTTGTATGGATATTAATGGACAAAAATGGCAGGTCATCCAGAAAAATGGAATTTTCAGATATGATTAGAACACAAAAAAAAAACATATCACCTGGAAGAAAATTGACAGCTCATCTATATATGAAAAAATACTGATTCCTGTAGCCACTCCACACAAAGCCATTGATAAAGCAGTACCGGCTTCTGTAAATGAATGAAAATACTCCCTGTAATAGATTTTTTTAGTTCCTTTAACATCAAAAGCACAAAAAAAAGAAGGAAATAGTTCTTAAAAATCTTTTGCATGCTCTGATTCTTGTTGGCATCAAAATTTTTCTCAAAGAGAGACAAAATAAACAAACAGAAGTTAACATGATAGAAACCACATTAGATATCAATATCTATGCACAAGCACAATGACCAGAGCTAAGCGCCTATTACCATAGAGGTTAATAGTTACTAGCATGTATTAGATTACTTGGAGATGTTTGGGGTACTTTTTTTATAGATAACTGAATACCTTTATTGCATTGTATCAAAGAATAGAATATGTGTCATATGCTAAACATCCTGATGTTTAGGCTGGAATGCCTCCATTTAGTAGGTTATAGTTATTTTTGCAATCTGTTAGAGCATATAAGGCCTTGTTCATTTCGCGGATTTTAGTAGGGAGGAAAGTTGGTCAATGGGATTGTGATTCCCATTGACTGACTCTCCCATGTTCTTTTTCAGGATTTAGGTGGGACCCACGGTAAATATGTTTTCCCCGGGGAAGTGTTACCCTTCTCCCACTTGGGAAAGTTAACTTTTCTGAGTGGGAGTAAATGCTCAAATTATAATATGTCAAAAATACCCATTAAAACAATATAATCCAAAAGGCATGGACTTGGGTCCAAGGGTAAAAATGACAAAACATAGAAAAATTAACCACTTACCCGAGAAAGTGGGTGAGGCAAAAGAACAAGGGAAAGTTGAGAAGCCTCATTTACCTAGGTAAATTAACAAAAAAAGAACATGGGGTAAGTGCACTTACCTGGGTAAATGGCCTCTTCGTAAACAAACAAGGCCTAAATATTTGAAAGAAAAATGAGGCCTTTTTGGTCTTTAATGTGAACATCCATGGTTTTAGAAAGAGTTCAATGGCTAAACCAAAGCAACTACATATTTTTGCAATCTACTAGATCTGACTACATTGAATCCAATCCAATAATTGAAACTTCAAATCCAAATCCTATCCAAAATAATAGAACTTGATCATTAGCAAGTGAACAAGTTCTATATGAAGCTCAGATACCATCTACTTAAGTGGGTGCACATTAACAAGCCCAAGGAGATTGGAGGACTTGGAATTGGCCACATCAAAGAAAGAAACATTGCTCTCATCAGTAAATGGTTGTGGAGATTCCCTATTGAACAAAATGCCCTTTGGACTGCAGTCATCATCAGCAAATATAGGAAAGAAGCAAATGGTTGGGATAGCAAGCTCCAATCGAACTGGGTAAAAGCCATCAACTCTTGGAAAGGTATAGTCTCCACCTTCTCTCTCTCGCCATTCTGTTTATTAGATACAAAGTTGGTAATGGGAGCAGAACTAAGTTCTGGATTAACCTTTGGTGGGGTGATTCTACTTTGGCAAATTCCTACCCTCATTTATTTATCCTTTTCCTCTCTGTGCAACTATCTATTCCTGCATTTCTTCAACTTCTAATAACCTCTCTAACTTAAACCTTAGAAGAACCTTAAGGAGTTAGAAATTGGCTAGGCTGCAGATTTCCTTCATGTCTTAATGGAGGTTTACATATCTCCCTTACCGTTGCTCAAAAAAAAAGGTTTACATCTCTCCTTTGACCACTGACCATTGTATCTGGACCCTCTATTCTGTCGAAAAATTCTCTTCCAAGTCATTTTTTAAGGCTTTGACAGTTGAAGAGCACAGAATTAGTTTCTTTGTTTGGGAAGCTTGTTTGAGAAGAATAAATACACGTGATTTGATTCAAAAGAATCTTGGAAGATCTTTTATCCCCCCCATGCTTGTATCTTATGTCTTAGTGATGGTGAAACTACAGATCACCTCCTTTTACATTGTCAAGCTTCAAGGAAATATTGGAACTATTTCTAAAACTTTTGGGTTATAACTGGGCTGCTCCGGAGAACATTCTTGATTTTGTTTGGCAATGGAAAGGCAGTGGCAATGTCCAAAAGGGGAGGTGGAAATTTTTCGCTTCTTGAATGTTCACCTAATTTTAAAGAATGGTGTAATAGATGGAAAGTGAAGGAAATATGGGAAGCTCACAGGGCTTTGTGGAGGCAACAAGGTGGAAGAAAGCCCTGAAAGTGGAGGCTAAAGACTTTATCTTTGAAGAATTAAGAATCAAAGGGTGTCATAGCTTGAAGATAAGGGAGCTGAAGAAAGCCACAGTTCTGGTGGAAGGCTTGGAGATACTTGAATGGCTGAAGGAGTTTTTGCAGGAAGCAGCAACAAAAGGAAAGAAGACATGCTGGAAGGAAAATGACACAAAGTCTGGAAGGAAATATGTGGTGGAAAGTAAACAGAATGCCAAAGGCTTATTCATTTCTCTCTCAGAATTTTTTGACAGAGAAGGAAACAAATGGTCTGCTTTCCTGTTGGGAAAAATAGCCAAGGATGGAGAGGAGTGACTGAGATCTTGACCAATTTTCTAGTTCGAATGAACCAAGAAATGAAGAAGATGGTGGAAACTGCAGTAGTGGACGGAGTACCTGTTAGGGGTGGCAACGAGCCAAGCTTTTCACGAGCTGCTCGAGCTCGGCTCATGAAAAGCTCGACTCGGCTCGGTTTCAGCCGAGCTCGAGCCCAATTCAGTGGCTCGATTAATAACCGAGCCAAGCTTGAGCCTACTAGAGCTCGGCTCGTGAGGCTCGCGAGCCGGCTCGAATATATATAATAAAATTATAGAAAATAATATATATAATAAAATATTATAATTAATAATTATTATAATTCTTAATTTTTAGGTATAAAATAAATTTTTGTATATATAATTTTTATTTTTATAATAAAATATATAATAAATATTTTTATAAAATATATAATAAATATTTTTATAAAATATAAAACAAGCCGAGCTGAGTCGAGCTCGAGCTTATGAACTTTTGACTCAAGCCGAGCTCGAGCGTGGTACTATTTGGCTCGGCTCGGCACGAATCCACCCCTAGTACCTGTCGAAAACTCACCATCGATGGAGGAAATGACTCTTAACCAGGACTTCTTAGCCATGGCAAACAGAAACAGTAATCCAATACTGAATGTAAATTTCAGCAGAGATCACTTGAACAATATGTTAGTGGTTGAAGCTAAAAATAAGATTAAGGATTGGAGGAAGATGGCAGATTTGTTGATTAGTAAGCTGGGACTGAGAAAGACATTTATTCTAACCCCTTTTGACAGTACGAAGGCAGTGCTTGATCCTCTTCAAAACATGATGGAATTTGACGCTCTAAGCATTCAAGAGGACAAGGAGTCCTTTAATTTGTATAGATGGTCCCCTTCATCCAATTCAAAACCTTTTGCCATTGAAGATGGAGTGACAGTCAGGGTGATTGGGTTGCCTTTCCACCTGTGGAAACATGATGTTGCAGTCTCCATTGCTTTGTTATGTGGAGCTCGTTTGGTGGGGGAATTCTGGGGAGACTTAAGATCTGCTGCTCCACTGTTAAATGGAGTTAAACCAGAAGAGATACCTAGGAAGATTACTCTTCAGGTTGAAGGACTGTCTTTACAGGTTTGGTTAGCTTCCTCCATTGAAGCTTCTCTGTGGTTAGAGGCCAGACAGGAAGAAGATGTACGGGTGGAAGAACAGGCCCTGCACAGCTGTCTAGGATTGGAGGTTCAAAAGAAGATGGAAAGTTTCACTAAGACCCCGTTTGGCGTGTCTTTTTGCTTGGTCTTTCAGCTGCTTACAAGCCGGGAAGACCGAAAATCGGTCTATTCCCGTTTGGCACGCGGAAGATCTCACCGCCAAAAGATGGGGCACCGAAAAGACGCAGGAAGCCCATTTTGGGCTGATTTCAGGAAGCTTCCCGCGTCTTCTGCGTTTTAATCTCGTGCGGAAAGACCCGAAACGACGCACGGAAAGATGCACGTCAACCAAACGGTCTTCGGGCTGCCCAGATCTTATGTCAAAAGCTCAATGCGTCTATTGACTATCAGAGCTACGAGAAGATCTTCTCAAAAAGACTTGCCAAATGGACCCTAAAATAGGCAAGCAAAACTGTGACTATTCAAAAGATAGGGGCAGTGAGGAAGGTCAAATACGTGGGCTACAAGACAAGGGACTGACAACAAAAAGATCTTTTGCCCAGGTGTTAGTTTCTAGAGCCAAAAATTCAAACAAGTTACAACAGTCATTTCAAAGGAGAAACCAGTAGGGCCAAGGACCTTGAACTGGTTTATAAGAAGGTTGAGCCGTTGGGTCAAGCTGAAAGGGGTGGCTCTTTAAAAACTCACATGACTGAGCAGTTAAGTGGGGCTGGATTTAACAATTTGTGTGGGCCTTCTCAAACAGGAAATGGACCAACAGAATTTGGCCCATGTTTTAAGTTGTCACATGAGGTTTTAAAACCTCACATGACTGAACAGTTAAGTGGGGCTGGACTTAATAATTTGTGTGGGCCTTCTCAAACAGGAAATGGACCAACAGAATTTGGCCCGTGTTTTAAGTTGTCACATGAGGTTTTAAAACCTCACGTGACTGAGGATGGACTGATGCTAGACAAGTTTATTCATCTAGCATCGTCCTCTTTGAGCTCCTCTGAGGCTTCAAAGAAGTCAAACCAGAGAACAAGTTCGCTTCAGTAGGTTCCTTTGAAAAACCTGTCGCGACCTTCCAAAGATCGTCGCAATCCAAGATCAGTTCGAAGACGGGACCCGGAAAACCTGGATACAGAGATGTCTTCTGAAGCTGAAAGTGTCTTTGGTTCAGACACAGACAACACAATCAGCATAGGAAGTGTAAATTTTAAGGATTCGAAGGACTTGTGGGAAGATGAAAGCTTAAACACTGCTATTCTATTCCCAGAGGAAGAAATATGTGTGTTGGAAGGTGGTGGAAAAGAGGAGAAGCGAAACAAGGTGGAAGACAAGGCTGACAACTTAGAGATTTCAACAACTGATGTGCCACACAAGGATGAAGAGAGCTTAGCAGCAACTTTAAAGGATGATCAGGGTACACCCATTCTTGCAAACAAA